GCAGAAAAAGAATAGTGTTTCCTCTAGGGTGTTTGTTTGTTTTTAGCTAATGAGGCAAAACTTTTCTGTGTATTCTCCCCAGTGTCCTATGAATTATTCTATTTTTCATTGTGGTTGGTGAGAACAGGAACTCTTCCAGGTACTCTGTGATCTTAGATATTATTCCCTGTAATTTTATCATGTGGTTCTTGCCTCACACATATGTGTTGGTCAGCACTCAGTTAAAGTCTTAAAAAGAACCCCTACCGATTTCCAGAACTCTCTGTGCATCAGTCTTCTCTCTGGTAGTCTGCCCTGAAAACTCTCACTTCTTTGCCCTCCCCATACTTGCAACTCAATGTCATCAACTTAGGGAGACTGATGGGCTCCCCCTGAATTCCCCTCCATGCATTATGTTGTGCAGACTCCAATATATAAGCTGGACCAATCATAGGGCTCATCTCATTAGTTTTTCTTGTCTCTCGTGTATCACTGTCCTTCATTGTCAGATTTTAAATGCCTTGAAAACCATTGTTTCTAGTTTTTTTTTATTGTTTCAGGCTGAAGATATTAATCTAGTCCCTTTTGCACTATCATAGCTGGAAAATGGGAGTAGCTATAGTGGGCCATTTAATTTTAAGTGTGTTTGACTTTTGGCTCAGCAATTCTAATCACTCTACTAATTGCTGGAGATATCGCAGTGAACATGATGATATACTTCCATATAGCTTACAATTGAGTGAGGAGACAGACAACAACAAAAAAAATAACCACAATATACTATGTTGTAAAGTGATAAGGAATGCTTAGAAGAACAAAACTTAAACAGGAGGCCTGGCCGGTTTGATTCAGTGGTTAGAGCATTGGACCGTGGACCAAAGGATCACAGGTTCAATTCCTTGTCAAGGGCATGTATCTCAGTTGCGGTTTGATTCCCAGCCTTGGTTTGTGTGCCTACCGAGGCAACCAATTGATGTGCCTCTCATGTCAGTGTTTCTTTTTCTCTCTCTTTCTCTCCCCTCTCTTCCACTCTCTCTTTAAAAAATCAGTGGAAAAATTATCGTCAGGTGAGGATTGAAAAAAAAACTTAAACAGGAGAGGAGCATAGGTAGTGTTGGGTAGAGGGAAGCATGTCAACGTTTTAGATACATTCACCTGGAAGGACTTATTAAAAGTATATTTGATCATAATCCTACTATAATTGAGAGAGAAAGCTACATGGATATTTGGAGGTAGAGCACTGCAAATAGATGAAATACTCAGTGCAAAGGCCCTGGAGTATTTGATGAATAACAAGGAATAAGAATACCTAAGCAAATGCTCACAAAATTTTAGTTATTTATAATATTGTTACTAAATAATAGTGGAACCAGAAATATAACCCCAAACTGTATGGTCTCAAAGCTCATCTGCTTACTATTATGTCATAGTCTCTCTTCCCTAAGCCATGAGACATTGAGACATGTACTATCTTGTGAATATTCTTGTATTGTTCTCTATCATTATCCAGGTGTAACACAAGTTTGCCTTGTGTTTCCAAATATATAAATCCTGTGACTATGCAGCCTATGTTTACTCTTTTCTGATAGAATGTTGGGCTCTAACATTTCTCTTTACACTAATCATTGGAGTTGATTTCATTATTGCATTGAATAAGGGTCACCTCCCTCCCTCAGCACATATGTGTTTCCTCCCAAAGTGTGTACTCTTTGGCCAAAATGTCATTCTGCCCAAAGACATGTGAGACACTATATAAAAAAAATTTTTTTTATGCTTAAAGTATTACAAAGGGTATTACATATGTGTCCTTTTTTTTCCCCAGCCCTTGACAATCCCCTGGCCTCCCTTACCCCCCAGTGTCTTATGTCCATTGGTTATGCTTATATGCATGCATACAAGTCCTTCGGTTGATCTCTTACCTGCCTCCCTCCTGCCGCCCAACCCTCCCTGGCTTTCCCCCTGCAGTTTGACAATCAGTTTGAGGCAGCTCTGCCTCTGTATCTATTATTGTTCAAAAGTTTGTAATGGTCTTTATTATCCATGAATGAGTGAGATCATGTGGTATTTTTCCTTCATTGACTGGCTTATTTCACTTAGCATAATGCTCTCCAGTTCCATCCATGCTGTGGCAAATGGTAAGAGTTCCTTCTTTTTTACAACAGCGTAGTATTCCATCCTGTAGATGTACCACAGTTTTCTAATCCATTCATCTACTGATGGGCATTTAGGCTGTTTCCAGATCTTAGCTATGGTGAATTGTGCTGCTATGAACATATGGGTGCACATATCCTTTCTGATTGGTGTTTCTGGTTTCTTGGGATATATTCCTAGAAGTGGGATCACAGGGTCAAATGGGAGTTCCATTTTTTGTTTTTTGAGGAAACTCCATACTGTCTTCCATAGTGGCTGCACTAGTCTGCATTCCCACCAGCAGTGCACAAGTGTTCCTTTTTCTCCACATCCTCTCCAGCACTTGTCGTTTGTTGATTTGTTGATGATAGCCAGTCTAACAGGTGTGAGATGGTACCTCATTGTTGTTTTGATTTGCAACTCTTGGATGATTAGTGACTTTGAGCATGTTTTCATATGTCTCTTGGCTTTCTGAATGTCCTCTTCTGAAAGGTGTCTATTTAGATCCTTTGCCCATTTTTTGATTGGATTGTTATCTTCTTTTTGTTAAGTTGTATGAGTTCCCTATAAATTTTGGAGATTAAGCCCTTATCAGATATGACGTTGGCAAATATGTTTTCCCACGAGGTGGGTTTTCTTGTTGTTTTGTTGATGGTTTCTTTTGCTGTGCAGAAGCTTTTTATTTTGATGTAGTCCCATTTGTTCATTTTCTCTTTAGTTTCAACTGCCCTAGGAGCTGTATCAGTGAAGAAATTGTTTTGGCATATGTCTGAGATTTTGTTGCCTTTGTATTCTTCTAGAATTTTTATGGTTTCCTGTCGTACATTTAAGTCCTTTATCCATTTTGAGTTTATTCTTGTGTATGGTGTAAGTTGGTGGTCTAGTTTCATTTTCTTGCATATATCTGTCCAATTTTCCCAACACCATTTATTGAAGAGACTATCTTGGCTCCATTGTATGTTCATGCCTCCTTTGTCAAAAATTAATTGAGCATATTGGTTCGGGCTAATTTCTGGACTCTCTATTCTATTCCACTGATCTATATGTCTGTTCTTGTGCCAGTACCAGGCAGTTTTGAGAACAGTGGCTTTGTAATACAGCTTGATATCTGGCATTGAGATCCCGCCTACTTTGTTCTTTCTCAGGATCGTTGCAGCTATTCGGGGTCTTTTTTTATTCCAGATGAATTTTTGGAGAGTTCGTTCTAGATCTTTGAAGAAGGCCATTGGTATTTTAATGGGGAGTGCGTTGAATGTATAGATTGCTTTGGGTAGTATAGACATTTTAATGATGTTGATTCTACCAATCCAAGAACATGGTATGTTCTTCCATCTGTTTATGTCTTCCTCTATCTCTTTTTTCAACGTCCTGTAGTTTTCTGAGTAGAGGTCTTTAACCTCTTTAGTTAAGTTTATTCCTAGGTATCTTAATTTTTTTGGTGCGATGGTAAATGGGATTGTTTTTCTAATCTCTCTTTCTGAAAGTTCACTATTGGTGTATAGAAATGCCTCAGATTTCTTGGGGTTAATTTTGTATCCTGCTACATTGCCAAATTCATGTATTAAGTCTAGTAGCTTTTTGATGGAGTCTCTAGGGTTTTGTATGTATAATATCATGTCATCTGCAAATAAGGACATTTTTACTTCCTCTTTTCCAATTTGGATGCCTTTTATTTCTTCTTCTTGCCTAATTGCAATGGCTAATACTTCCAGTACTATGTTGAACAGGAGTGGTGAGAGTGGGCATCCCTGTCTTGTTCCTGTTCTTAGGGGAAATGGTGTTAGTTTTTGTCCATTGAGTATGATGTTGGCTGTGGGCCTGTCATATATGGCTTTTATTATGTTGAGGTATGATCCTTCTATTCCCACCTTTCTGAGAGTTTTTATCAAAAATGGGTGTTGGATTTTGTCGAATGCTTTTTTTGCATCAATTGATATGACCATGTGGTTTTTTTCTTTCAATTTGTCACTATATAAAAATTTTAATCAAAGTCCCTCTCTCATCAATCCAACACTTTTTACATTTTCCAAGGCACTTTGTTTTTGTCCTATTTTTAATAAGTAATGCATAAAAGGTATGAAATTTTAAAAGATCAAAATGATATAGGAGTGAAAATAAGTTTTCCTTCATCCTTTCCTCAGCCACTCATTAGTCCTGTCTTGAGGCAAACAATATAACCAGTTTCTTTGGTATCCTTTCAGAAATATTGAGTACATGTGGGTATTTTTCATTATCTCCACACCCCACCCCTACTCATGCCATATACCTTGATTACAGTTTTCACTTTTTTTATCACTGCAACCTATCTGTGTTACAGATGAGGATGCTAAAGCTCAGACATGGGAGGTGACTTGACTAAGGTTTCCCAGGCTGTAAGTGGAAAATCCACTATTGATGTTGGAGTTTTTGTCTGTATTATTTCTTCCACACTGAGAAATGCCAGATCATGTGCCTTGAACATGGTAGGAGATTTCTAAACACTTGGTGGTAGCTAGAGTGATTAAAATAATTCCCCCATTTCTTTAGTCATTTTAGAATTGCTATGGCAGACTCTAGATGTAATGCTGACTGGCATCAAATAGTAGTTAGCATAGGGCAGTGATGGCAAACCTTTTGAGCTTGGCGTGTCAGCATTTTGAAAAACCCTAACTTAACTCTGGTGCCGTGTCACATATAAATTTTTTTGATATTTGCAACCATAGTAAAACAAAGATTTTTATTTTTGATATTTATTTTACATATTTAAATGCCATTTAACAAAGAAAAATCAACCAAAAAAATGAGGTTCGCGTGTCACCTTGACACGCGTGTCATAGGTTTGCCATCACTGGCATAGGGAGATAAAAACTTGATCTTTCTAATTGTTTCCTGTAAATATTCCCCCTTTACAGATCTATTCAGGCCCACCTGAGGAAAGTGCTGCACCCCCAGTGCCTCCACCTCGAGTGACAGCTAGAAGGCACAAACCAATCACGATTTCGAAGCGCTTGCTGCGGGAAAGGACACTTGTCTATAATACCTCTTCCCTAGATGAAAGTGAAGGTCAGTACTAAAATTTACCTTTAGCTTCTTAACAGTGATTAGACACAAAGAAAGCAGAAGTGGAGGTGTGGCCATTTTTCTCCATGTAAATGTAGACTTTTTCCTGGCTCCTGGGCCATACAAAGCATGGTTTTAAAAATGTATACCCAAAGAGCAAATTAGTCCTTTGGCAGTAAATAGGATAAGGATAAACCTATAAAGCCAGTTACCATGATCCCTTAGGATGCCAGTGGAGGATCCAGGAGGTTCTTAGATTTGTACCTCAATACATAGAAATGGGTGAGCAATGTGCTTTCTGAATGTTCTGAGATTTTAATTTCAAATCCAGCTAAAATGGAGTAATGATATCAGCAAGATGGCTGAAGAGTAGTTTCCAGACCATGTCCCCTCAGAGTAACATCAATTTGTACAACCATCCATACATCAAAATACCTTCATGAGAGCCATGGTAACCAGCTGAGAGATTATAGCACCTGGGTAGGACACAAAAATAAGAAAAAGTGCATGGCATATGGCAGGAAGAACATTTTTATATTACCCATGTCACTCTTCCCTCAAGTTCACACAGTGCAGTTTGAGGAAATTACCCTGCACTTAAGGGGAGGAGAGTGAAGTGAACACTCAACTTAATTTTGGACACTAACATCAGGCCTACCCAGTGAACCCCAGTACCAACCCATTCCCTTCTGGCCTCCATAGACACAGGCTCCAGGCAAACCTCAGAACCAGGCCAGCTTGTGGTACCAAGCTTCAGGCCAGCCATTGTTCCCCTAGTCTTCATGATGTAACCACAGACCCAGCATCCAAGATATACCCCTGTGGACCCAGCCTCTAGGTCTACCCCAATGATGTGCCAGCCCTGTGACCCCAGGCTGCAAGTTTACTCCATCAGGCTTGTCCACCAAATGACCTAGGCTTTGGATCAGCCTTCCTAAAAACTTCAGCAGCAAGTCCACCTGTGGATCTCATCAAATGGCCCACCCTTTATCTTGTGTGCTGACTGATAAAGGTTTTCTTTTCCAAAGCCACTCTCTAAAGACTGGAAGATTTTCCTACTTCTTCAAAGAGACAACAACATAAGGCCTCATGGATTAGTAATAATTGCATAGATATTACACCCACAAAGGAACAACATAAAGCACCAGAAACTGACCCTATTGAAACAGAGATCTTTGAACTGTCTGACAAGGGATTCCCATGAGAAGTCCAAGAAAGTTATAGAACCCATAGAAAACAACCAAACTAAAATTCTGGAACTGAAGAACACAATGACTACATAGAAAAATTCAATAGAGAGCTTCAACTTAACCTTGACCAAGCAGAAGAAATAATTAGTGAGCATAAAGATAGGTCATATGAAATTATCTAGTCAGAGGAACAAAGACAAAAAAAAAGATTGATTGAAAGTAAAGGAAACCTAAGAGACTTATGGGACATTGTCTACAAAGTAATATACACATTATGAGAGTCCCAGAAGGAGCAGAGGAAGAAAAGGGTTGAGGGGAGGAAGGGGCTTATTTCAAGAAATAATGAAAGAAAACTTACTAAATCTGGAGAGGGAAATGAGCATTCAGAACCTTGAAGCACAAAGAAACCCAAATAGATTAAACATAAAGAGATTTTCACTAAGACATATTCTATTAAATTCTCAAAATACCAGGACCAAGAGAGAATTTTGAATGCAGCACAAGAAAAATGAATCATCACATACAAAGAAACTATAGCACTATGAACAGATTTCTCAGCAGAAACCCCGTATGTCCTGAGAGAGTGGAATGATATATGATAAGTACTGAAAGGGGGGAAAACCTGTCAACCAAGAATACTACACTTTACAAAGCAGTCTTTCTGAATGAAGGAGTGATAAAACTTTTCCAGACAAATTCAGAGGGGTTTCATTACCAATAGACCTGGTTTCCAAGAAATTCTGAAAGACTTTATTCAAGTTAAAATAAATGGACACTAACTAACAACATGGAAACACATAAAAGTATTTAAAATTTATTGCTAAAGACAAGTATATAGTCAAATTCAGAATGTTCTAATACTATGAAGGTGTGTAAATCACTTTTGACCAGTATAAAAGTTAAAATATAAAATTATTAAAAATGACTATAGCTATAATAATTTAATGGATACACAATCTAAAAATATATAAATTATGATATTAATAACAAATGTAAGGGAAGGAGAAGTTAAAATGTAATCTGTATGCGGTCTGTTACTTTGCTAGCAACTTAAAACAGACTGCTATACAAATGGGATGTTTTATGTAAACGTTATGATACAAATATAATACCTGTAGCAGATATACAAAATATATACAGAAAGGAATCAAAGTATGGCACTACAAAAAATCAAAACATCAAGGAAGATAGCCAAGAACGGAAGAAAAAAATGTAAGAGTCAGAAACAATTAAGAAAATGGCAGGACCAATGTGGCAGAGGACAGGACTGGTGTGAGGGTTATTGTGTGAGTGGGTGTGCGGGAGAGTGTTTGTGGTTGTGAATGTGGGAAGGCATCTTTCAGAAGGAGCTGGGTGGGAGAGGGGGAGTGGAGGTGGTCGGGGTTGGTCGCTCCAGCAGAAGAGCTGCTGTGTGATGCACAACCAGGTGTTTCTCTATGCTTCGAAATGGAGAGCATGCCATTTTGAAGGACCTACAGGGTCCTCTGTGGGAGGAGGCTGCAAGGAGTAGCCCTACCTCAGTACCCCTAAGCAAAGAATGGAAGCACATGCCCCCACTGCTGGGACCTGAAACCTCTGGACACACAGACTAGACATAACAGCTTGGTGTGCCTGGACTGTGGGACTTGGAGGAGTGGCAGGATGCCTTGACAAGCAGTGTCTGGGGCCTGCCCTGCCACATTGGCGAGTGGAACGTTGACCCTACGTGAGCTGAGCACCTGGCCGACCCTCCTGTGAATGGAGCATCTGGCTTGCCCTGCCATATTGGCAAGTTGGATGTTTAGCCCACCCTTCTTCCTCCATCAGCAGAGCAGTGCCTGGCTCACCCTGCCCCCTACACCACCTGCACAACTCCTGTAAGCCTCCTGCATCAGTTGAGCAGCACCAAGTTGGGCTGCCTTTTCCACCAGTGGAGTACACTGCCAACCTCACCACCTTGACACCTGGACCCAGAGGTCTGCCACCCCCACACACCATGACAGACGAGATGCTCTTGGCCAACTGGCCCCACTGCTTTCATGTGGTGTGACCAGCCCTGCCACCATGGCCCAATGCCCCCAGATGCACAGACCTGCCACTGAAACCCATTGTGTCTGACCTGGTACCCCTGGACAAATGGCCCCACTGCTTGAAACCACCTAGTAGACATGACCTCATGCCCCCAAATGCACAGAACTGCCACAGCGACCTGCATAATAAGGCTACCAGAAGGAAAAGAATTTGAGCAAAAAATAGAGAACCTGTTTGAAGAAATGATGACAGAAAACTTCCCTGACCTGGTGAAAAAAGTCACACAAGTCTAAGAAACACAGACAGTCCCAATTAAAATGAACCCAAAAAGATTCACACCAGGATACATCATAATTAAAATGACAATTGTTAAAGACAAAGAAAGGAACTTAAAGGCTGCAATAGAGAGACAGAGATTACCTACAAGGGAGCTCCCATTAGACAAGCAAATGTTTTCTCAACAGAAAAACATCAGGCAAAAATGGAGTAGCATGAAGTATACAGAGTAATGAAAAGCCAGGGACTGAATCCAAGACTACTCTATCCAGCAAGACTATCAATCAAAATTGAAGGTGAAAGTAGGAGCTTCAAAGATTAAAAAAAAAAAAGGCTAAAGAAGTTTATTACCACCAAACCTAAACTGCAGGAAATGCTAAAGGAATTTTTCAAGAAAAAGTAATAGAGAAAGAAAGAGTAAAACAGATATAAAGAATAAAAATGTCAATGTAAGTGGCTTAAATGCTCCAATCGAAAGACAAAGGGGTAGTTAAAAGAATAAGAAAACATGACCCATACATATGTTGTCTACAAGAGACTAACCTCAGAACAAAAGGTTCACACAGTATGAAAGTAAAGGGATGCAAAAATATTTTCCATGCAAATGGAAATGAAAAAAAAAAAGCTGTGGTAGCAATATTTATATCTGGTAAAATATACTTCAAAATGAAGGCCATAACAAGAGACAATGAAGCCAACTTCATAATCCTAAAGGGATTGATACAACAAGAGGATATAGCTGGTAAACATATATGCACCCAATATAGGAGCACCTAAATATATATGAAAACACTTCTGGAGGATTTTAAGTGAGAGATGGACCGCAATACAATCATAGTATGGAACTTTAACAACCCACTGACATCACTGGATAGATATTCTAGACAAAAAAATAATCAGAAAAGAGACAGCAACTCTAAACAACACACTAGATCAAATGGATTTAATAGACATTTACTGAACATTTCACTCCAAAGCTGTAGAATATACATTCTTCTCAAGTACACATGGGACATTCTCAAAGGTAGACCACATGTCAGGACACAAATTAAGTCTCTACAAATTCAAGATGACTGAAATCATATCAAGCATATTTTCAGCTCACAATGACATGAAACTAGAGATCAACTGCAATAAAACACCCCAAAACATTCATTCAAACACATGGAGGCTAAAAAGCATGCTATTAAATAATGAATGGGTTACTAATGAAATCAAGAAAGAAATTAAAAAAAAATCTATGTGACACAGCAAAAGCAGTCCTGAGAGGGACGTTCATAGCACTACAGGCCTACCTCAAGAAACAAGAAAAATGGCTAATAAACAATTTAACCCTGCAACTTAAAGAATTAGAAATAGAACAACAACAAAAGCCCAGAGTATGTAGAATGAAGGAAATAATACTGATCAGAGCAGAAATAAATGACATACAGACTAAAAGCACAATACAAAATATAAATGACACCAAGAGCTGGTTCTTTGAAAAGATAAATAATATTGATGGAACTTTAGACAGACTCATCAAGA